ATTAATAATATAGTTTTCTTGTTAATGCTCTGTAGTATCCACAGGGCCACGGGTAGCAGCTGGTAACGTTAAGTAACATTAATAATAGTGAAGATTATTAATGTTACTTTATAATATAGCGTTTTATAACCTAGATTTTTATGGATACTTATATTATTATATAAAATGTTAAGGGATTAAGGTACCATGTAAAATTAAGTTTTTAATTGGTTGCTTATCCCTGCAGCTACATAATTGTAGTCTTCGCTGCTTTTAGGGGATAATATATACTAGTGTAACTTGTACTTTACATCACAGTTGCAACAGGAGCGTGGAACTTCATTTTCGCCCGCCTGCGGAGATGAAAGCATCGCTCTGGGCCTCGAAGACCTGCCGGAGGCTTGGTCCTCCTCAAAGGACTCTCGTCAAGACCTCGCGACTGTCTTGCTGCCCATCCTACTGCACCCCGTCCAAGATCTGTGTTCCGGCCTCTCTGCATTGTATGTCTAACCTAGCCATGGAGCGCTCAAGCCAAACGTCAGGAGACGTGTACTTCCATGCTATCGACGGCGTGGAAGAGATGGGGAGGTACTGTATTGGGGGTTACCACCCAGTCAGCATCGGCGACAGACTTAACGCCCGATATCGCGTGGTGCATAAACTTGGCCATGGCAGCTATTCCACTGTCTGGCTGGCCCGCGACGAGCAACTCCAGCGGCTTGTTGCTGTCAAGGTATGCACTGCCGACGCCAGCGGACAGGAGTCGAAAATCCTGTCGATCCTGAAGAGTTCCTCGAATGTAGGCCACGACGACAGCGTTATGAGTGGGCGAGACATGATCCCTTCCGTCCTTGACACCTTTTGCGTACATGGTCCGCATGGCACACATACCTGCCTGGTCACTGAGTGTGTAAGATGCACTTTGGATGACGCGAGAAGGAGATCTTGGGGCTTGCCGCTAGATTTGAGTGTTGCCCGCGCGATTGCTGCACAGTTTGTGCTTGCTGTGGCTTACATGCATCGTAATGGGTACGTCCATGGAGGTGCGTTCTGTTCGACTCTTTATTTCTTATCTGTTTTATTGGCGCTTAGACGACTTAAGATGGGCTTTAACCCGCGCTCATCGTGAGAGTGCTTCTTCACTAATCATGCTGATCTAGACCTTCATGTCGGGAACATCCATCTGAGGCACCTAGAAAATTTGGATCATCTCTCGGATGAGGAGTTATATGAAGAGTTTTGGGAACCAGAATATGCACCGGTCAAAACATTCCACGACAAGCGGATCCCCCCGACCGTCCCTATCGCCGCCATTCTTCCCTTGAGGTTCCCAGTTCGGACAGATCAGCTGTCACTCTCAGAAGCCCGCATTCTCCTGGCGGATTTCGGCGAGTCATATCGCCCATCAGAAGAGCAGCGGCTCGCCTGTCGCACCCCAGTGCATTGCCGACCGCCGGAGGACCGCTTCGAGCCATCGGAGCCGCGCTCATTCCCAAGCGATATCTGGACCCTCGCATGTTCAATCTGGGGAATCATCGGGCAGCAGTCGTTATTCGAGTCATTCATGCCGTGCGAAGATAAAACAGCGTCGATACAAGTCGAGCTCCTTGGAAAGCTCCCACCCGAGTGGTGGGCGCGGTGGGAGACCCGCTCAGAATACTTCACCGAGGACGGCGAGATACTAGATGACGACCGACACTTATGGACCTGGGAATTCCAATTCGAGACTACTGTGCAGGAATGGCGCCGAGAGCGTGGCATGGAAATTGTTGGGTTGGAGGAGAAGGAGGCGCTATATGCCATGCTCAAGCCGATGCTGGCGTACAAGCCGACGGAGCGCTGTAGCGTGAGCGATGTTCTGAAGTCCAAGTGGATGACAGAATGGGGGATGCCGGGCTATGAGAAGCTACTCATGCGAGAAAAAGGATTAAAGGAATAGGGAGGGACGTGACTGTGAGGACTCGGAGTACGGACAGCAGTTAGTTTGTAGAGTTTCTGATGGTATTTTCCAAGTTTATGAGGCGGTTATGGACTGAGATGGATTCCAAGTGAGCTCCTAGACTTAAAGCTCGGGCGGACGTGGAAGGTCACTAGCTACCATGCACGTCGATCCAGAAGAGGAGGAAGAATTAACCATTATAAATGTACAATACGCAACCACTCTACACTAACTCGCAACTCGCACTTCCACTGCCAGAGTCGAAACCACACAGAGCTGCTTTCTTCATCAACGTCTTCTCTGTCCTACCTCATCCCAAACCAAGGTATAGGATGGGTTGAGCGGCCTTTGGCATAGCAAATAAAAGTCGTGGCGGGATGATTCTCGCTAATGTAGTCCGCTACTATCGCAAAATGATAGATATTGGCAGCAAGAAAAGCTTCCTGTATCTAAACACCACCAGGTGGTCTGCTGTGTGTGGTTGGAGGCACGCTTTGAGGCATGGTTTCGGGCCCTGCGGGCTAGCCAATCAGGACTCCGCTCTGTGGTAGTGTTGACACTACCACCCAGAAATTCCAAAGCGGTGCAGCGTGACTATCGGTACTGTTTTGTCCTTTTCTTCTTTGCCATTCGAAGGCGAGGTGGGCAGAGAAGGGAAGGTGGGTGTGATTGGAGGCTATTAAGGAAATGTAGGCAAAGATTAAGAGGTGAATTGCTTAGGGTGCGTTTAAATTTTACTTAGGGTGTATTTTACTCTATTATACTTACTTTTTTATAATAAAACCTATTATTATATTTTATAATATATTTTAGTTACCTTAAAGCTATTATAAGCTATTCTAATACTTTTATATGTAATTTAAGTAGGAAAACCCTTTATATAAAAAGAAAAACCCTTTTACTTTTATTTTAAATTATTTTTATCTTATTATAACCTTATAATTATATAAAGTATATTTTATATTATATAAAATAAAGGTACTTATTAGATTAGCTATCTTAATAGTAGTTTATTAAAGTATATATAAAAAACGTTTAAGTTAACTTTAATACTTTAATTAATTATCTTACTTAATATTTAAGCGTGTAAAGTTATTATATATTTTTCTTTAAGTATTATATTATATTATATTATTTAAAGCTTAATATTAAGCTATATTTTAATTATTCTTAGTATAATTAATATATTATAATAAACGTTACTTTTTTCTTACTTTCAAAGCTACTTAATTAAGTTTAATTAACTATTATTAGTTACTTAAAGCTTATTATAATTTTTAAAAGAGCTCTAAGTTAAACTATTAGTTTTTCTTCCTTTTTTTCTTTTTTAAACGCTTAATTTTTATACGTAAAATCTCTTTTTATAGCTTTTAATATTAAGCTAGCTTTATAATAGCTTTTAATACTCTTTATAAGCTTATTAAAGTTATAATTATATTAGCTTATTTTTTAATTATTTTTTATATGAATTTAATTAACGTATATTATTTTTTAAGCTTTATTCTCTTTCTCTTTAATTTTTAAAAGCTTTTTTTAATTAAAGTAAGTTTTTACCTAATTTATGCGAGGAAAAACCACACATAAGATAAAGGTTTATAACTCGTAAAAGACAGTTAAAATATTAGTTAAAATACCGGTTAAAATACTAGTAAATATAATAGCCACGAGGGCTAAGAAGGTTAAGGTTCTATTTTTCTAGGAAGGCTCTAAAAAGCTACTTATATAATTGTGTAACACGTGATATATCACGTGTTACGGCACGTGACTAGAGGCTACGTTGCTAGCTAAATCGAGCTGCGGTATGCGGCCGAATTCCTCCACACACTAATATTAACTTAATATTAAGCGTTTTTTACTTTTATTTTACTTATTATTTTTTATTATATAATAGTTTATTTTACTTTATACGTTTACTTAACTTTAATTTAATCTTAATATTCTCTTTATTAATATTTTATATAAGCTAGTATTTATAAAATAGTTATACCTAATACTACTCTTAAGGTATATTCTATTTAAGTTTAACTAGAGTATTAAAAGTAATATAGTTTTATAGTTTTATAGTTTCTATAGTATTTAATATAAAAAATTTTATTAAATCTAATAAGATACTTATAGAATTATAAGTTTTACGAATAACTAATATAAATTCTATATTATAAGCTAACATTAAAAACGTGGGTTCTTATATAGTATTATAAGCCTAAAACTTAAAAAACTATAAAATATAGTTTTTATAGTATAGTATA